TGTGGAAAGGGAACTTCATGAGGACAGTGGTGACACCCAAGCAGGAAAAGCCCAAAGGGAACATCAGGCCAGCCATAAAACAAACTTGCATAGGAAAAGAGATTTAATAAAAGGTATTGAAAGAAGCCCCCTAGACAAAAGCCAAGTAATTAAGAAAGCTAGGGAAACAAGAAAAAGAAATCCCTTACAAACAAAAGGTCATGCCAAATCAGCAAAACAAATAGACAAAAGACACGAAATAAATTCCATAGCAGACAGGAGATTGCCACCAAACAAATATAAGAAAACATTAGGATGAAACTGATAATCCAATCAAACCACCCCGCAGAGTTTACCCTCTGGCGGAAATGAAGACAACCCCCTGACAGGATTTAAAACATTAAGAAATACAAACACAAGCACTCACACACAAAAGGAGAAAAGGTATAAAAATCAGGGGTTTATTATACAAAGATGGCTAGCCCCAGGAACGCAGACTTCTTGCTATCTCTTGCCTTCCTGAAAAATAAACCCGCTTCCAAGCAGTTGTCTGTGTCCTTGCACCAGAGCCCTCCCAGCAGGAAAATCGAATCCTCAAAGGAAAGGCATTTTCCAGCCTTTCAACACCAGATTGGGTCTAACTAGAGAAGACATGGTAAATTTGTGCTGTTTTGTCTGGTGGGAAGATAAAAATTTAAGTTGGCCCTGGTTGGGAACAAATGATTATTTTGCCTGCAATAATTTATATGAATATGTCCAGGATAAAGAATGTAAGTCACTACAAAATGAAATAGATTATGCTCTAATTTGGAACCCAGATAAATGGCACCAAGAAGAGGGGTCCTATAAAGCCAAATTATTTATGGTGAATGAGGAAGAAGAGGAAGAAACTGGGAGATATTTACCACCTCCTTATAACCCAAACCCTGTACAAGCTGCACCACCTGTGCCTCCTCTTCTTCCCCTTTTGCCAAGCCCTAAACAAAATATTAAAAATTCCCCTGCTTCAAGCAGTGGTAAACATAAGATACTGAAAAGGGAATTGGAGCAATGTAAAAAAGATATTAGAGATTTTCCATTTAAACAGTACCCCCTAGTGGAAGAAAGAGAGACAGGAATATTTCCGCTTCGAGAGGTACCTCATGGAGTAAATCAAGGGGTGCCTGTAATAAGCTTTGTGCAGGATCCTTTAAAGGCATCCAAAGTGAGACCCTTTAAAAAGGAAATGAAAAGTATTATAGATGACCCTCTGGGGGGCATCAGAACAGCTGGATAATTTGTTAGGACCTAACATTTACACATGGGATGAAATGATGGCTATACTTAATACCCTCTTCTCAGCTGAGGAGGGACAGTTAATTAGAGCAGCCTCAATGAAAGTATGGGAAAGAGATCAACCCCCTGCTAATAATATTGGGGAGAAGATAAATTTCCCCTGGTTAGACCAAACTGGGATAACAACAACCAAGCCCATAGAACTAATATGGAAGATTTGAAAAATATAATTGTTAGGGGAATAAAAGAAGCAGTCCCAAAAGCACAGAATATGAGCAAGGCTATGAATTTAGAACAGGAAAAAGAGGAATCCCTAGCAGCTTTCTTACAAAGGCTTAAGGATACGATGAGGAAATACTCTGGCATGGACCCGGACGATGCTACAAATACACAATTGGTCCAAGTTCAGTTTGTAACAAAGGCATGGCCAGATATTTCAAAGAAATTACAAAAATTAGATGGGTGGACTGGGAAATCACTGGACAAACTTCTCAAAGAAGGTTTACGTACAGCGAGATTATGAGAAAACTAAACAAAAGGGTAGAATGATGGTGGCAACAGTCAGAGAAGTTATAAAACAAGAAGGACCTCCAAAACCCCCACTCCAGGAAAGGTTTGGATGAGGGAGAAATGGAGGAATGTAAGGGTGGAGCCAAAGTAAAAGGGGAAGAGGATGTGGTGGTACAGGCAGGGAGGACAGAGTGAGATGTTTTGGGTGTGGCCACCCTGGACATTTCAGGAAAGATTGCCGGATCCAAGGAATGGAGGAGCAAGTGTATAGTATAATAATATAATCATTTTGTGTGTGTGTGCTTGTGTTTGTATTTCTTAATGTTTTAAATCCTGTCAGGGGTTGTCTTCATTTCCGCCGGAGGGTAAACTCCGCGGGGTGCAGAAGGCAAACTTTGCGGGGTGGTTTGATTGGATTATCGGTTTCGTCCTAATCTTTTTTAGCTTAATGGTTTCTTATATTTGTTTTGTGGCAATCTCCTGTCTCCTTTGCAATATATTTTGTGTCTTTTGTCTGTTTGTTTTGCTGATTTGGCATGTCTTATGTTTGTAAGGGTTTTCTTTTCTTGTTTTCTTAATTTTTTGGGCTTTTGTCTAAGGGGCTTCTTTAATACCTTTTATTTGATTTCTTTTCCTATGCAAGTTTGTTTTATGGCTGGCTTGATGTTCCCTTTGGGCTTTTCCTGCTTGGGTGACACCACTGTCCTCGTGAAGTTTCCTTTCCACATTACAAAAACCTAGAAAAATAGCAGTGATAAGTGTGAATGCACATCATTTGAGAACATAGGTAATCGGATTGCTGATAAGGAAAGCAAAATTGGCTGCTAATTTCTACAGTTAAGGGAGTGGTCACATTCAACCCCTGCCCCTGCCCCTCCCCCAACAATGCACTCATAACAGACAACACTGAACGGTCTCAACTGTTGAGCCCCTGAATACAAGTAGTCCTCAATTTACAACAGTTCATTTAGTGACCACTCAAAGAGTGGTGCGGTGGCCTTCCCCGGGCTCTGGAGGCCCTCCAGAAGCCGGAAACAGGTCCGTTTCACGACTTCCGGTTTTTCCAGGAGGGCCGTTTTTCGCCTTCCCAAGGGTCCGGAAGCTTCCCTCGGGCCTCTGGGAGGGCAAAAACGGCCTCCCCCGGGCTCTGGAGGCCCTCTGAAACAGGCTCAATTGTGGTGGTAAGTGGAGGACTGTCTGTACAATAGCAGGGAGAACACTGAGGGAGAAATAAAAGAAAAATGTGGTTTTTTTTTCAAACCAGCCAATTAAAATTCGAGTCTTTGCACAGGGCGAGTATTGATTAACGGTAGGCGGGGACGCTGCACCCTGCGGTTTTTTTTTAATAGACGTCAATTGGATTCTAGGAGCGACGTTGCGATGAGCTTCCACCAATGCGCTTAGAGAATTCGTTTACGTCAGTCGCCCAAAGTTACGTCAACTCATCCCCTTTAATTGGTAGTTCGATAACAGCCTATGACAATGTAGTTAAAATGATTAAAGGGAGTTCTAGCCATAGACGAAGCTAGCCTTGGATATCAGTGGGACCAAAATGAACAGCCGAGGAGGGAAATGACTGCAGCTGAGGGAAACAGTTGATACGATAGTCCCGTGGTTTAATCTCACCGCGGACAATAGCCGCGCCATGCTGAGTGACAGCACATATACCCTATCCTGTCTTGGCGCCTCGCCTCTTTCCTCTTCCCACCTCAACGGTGTTATCGAACCAGCTTGCTTCGGCTCCCCCCAATCCACCTCGTGCGCTTGATTGGCTTCGCGCGTGATCGGTGACCAATGAGTGCGCCCGGGGTAAGAAGACGCTTACCTCAGAAAGCCGACGAGTCGTGAAAAAAGAGTGGGCGGAGCTCCCACAGACCCGGTTGCGCGGCGCAGAGGGCAGCTGGGACGCCATTTCGTGAGGCGTTCGGAGCGCGAATGAGGCGAGCGTAGCTGTGAAAAGAGGGCAAAGCGGTGTACGGTTACAGAAATTAGACATTTAGATAAGCAAAGCGGCGGCGTGCTGGATCTGGGGCCTCCCGGTGAGTTCGTTGCCTGAAGGAAAAACTCCTTGGGGGAAAGGGTGGCGACGGTTCTTTTTTTTTCCTCCCCCGCGCGCGTATGTGTGTGGGAGGGGAATTCGCATAATGCGATTGCCCACACGCCCCCTCAAGTTTTGGTCTCCGCGGCGGTCTTTCTGGGCTCTCACCTCCTTCCTCCCCTCCATTAAATGTATTGGTGTCATCCAAGCCGATGTCTTATTTGGGAGAGACCATTATGCTGGGCACAAAGCGGGGGCTGCTTTAATGGTTCTTTCGTTCTGCGAAAGAGAGGAAAACGCGTATCTGTGTGTATTTGTGGTACATTATGCGTTTATGTGGGTTATAAGAAGACTCAACCTATGGGAAGTTATATAGTGTGTGCCTAGCCGCCTGAATGTATAAAAAACGTGTGAGGTGCGCGTGCAGATCCCATTCGCAGGTATGGCTGCCGGTTTAGGCAAGGGAATACATACTAGGATAATGGGGGCCTGCCTGACCTTTATTGGTCATTCAGGGTCGGATCTCATTCGTCTAATCCGGATTGACAGTCCAGGAAGACAAGATGCCAAATGCCTCAGCAGGTGGCGCACAGCAGACTGGATCACTGGAAGCTACTGACAAATCCAGGTAGAACTTGGATGGGATACCACCAGGAGATCCCAGGGCTGTAAAACCGACCTTTAAAAACACCTTAGAAGGTAGAGGCAGAAGGCCGCCCCATTTGTTAAAAAAAAAAGATTTTTTTTGTAAGGTGTGATATGAAGATTTTACATGGACGGCAAAAATGCCTAAAAGCACCAGAATTTGCACACTATATCTCACATTGTGATTTTTGGCAGATTGTTTTAAAAATGCACATGCTATCATAGGCTAACAAAGCTGAATTGTGGATGTAAAATGCCTAAAAGCATCAATAATGTGCACAGTATATCACACACTTGCCATGATCAGGTTGTGATTTTTTTTGACAAATTTGTTTAAATGCTAGGGAGGTTGAATGGCAGGTGGTAAAAATGCCTAAAAGCATCAGAATGGGCACACTGTATATATGTTGGACAGCTATCTGACATACATTTACATTGGAACAATAAAAATAGGTGCTATTTCATGTATTGCTACAACAGACATTTTAAGGATTTGGCACTTTGGGGATGCATGTTCATTGTGAAACAAGTATATAGCACAAAGGTGGCTAACCTTTTTGGGCTCCTGTGCCAAAAATTGTGCTCACACTCATGCACTCATGCCAGCACCCAGAAGGCAATGTGCATGTGCAATTCCCCCCTGCCCCCTTACCTGCACTGTGCCTCCCAGCTGATTTTTGGCCTGTTTGAGGCCTTTTTCGGCCTCCCAGAACTTCTGCAGCCTTTGGAGGCTGAAAAATAGGTCTGTTTTGTTGACAACTCCCCTTGATCCTTCAAGCGATTCCCCCTTTCTTCACCACCCCTCCAGGGTGTTTCTGGTCTCAATCGGGACCCTCCAGAAAGTGAGTTCGAAGCAAAACCACACAGGATCGTGGATTCTGCTCTGACTCTGACGGCAAACAAACCAGAAGAGAACCTCATGTGCACTTAACAACCTGTGCATTCAATTAGCAAATGCTTGGGCAAAAGCATTTTCATGTTCATTTAACAAATCCTTGGGTTACGAATGTAATTGGCAGTCTCCATTACATTCATAACTCAAGGACTACCTGTAATTTAAATAGGTAATAGGTGAAAAGATACGTAGGTGACTTCTCTGTCCCAGTTACCTGGCATTTGAGTGGTTGGTGAGCGGAAAGGTAGATAAGTGGGGGTGATATCTGAATTCTAGAAATTTCTATTGCTAGGACTTTTACCACTAATGAGAACCTAGCAGAAGACCAGTGCATGCACTTTTTGTATAGGCCTTGCTTCTTTTCCCTTGATCCTTTTCAGTGTGTGTGTGTGTATGTGTGTGTGCGCGCCATGTGCACGTGCTCAGTTTTCTTTAGAGATCTCTGACAAGCTTGCAGGTGACTTTGAAGTCATCCAGCACGACTTGTTGGCAACAAACAGACATGGCAAGATGAAGGTGGCAGCTTAATCACACCTGAGCAGCTGCTGTGAGGTTGGAGTAGCCACATGGGACCAGAAGCTGGTGTTCTTTGGGGTGGGGGGAAACTGGGAGATGTGGGCAAAGTTTCTGGGGTACCCTTGACTCATCCTGTCCCTTCTCCTTTCACAGGGCAGCAAGGAGAAAACCCCCAACCCTTCCTTCACTGGAGCTCAGCTTGTTTTTATTTTTATTTTATTTTTTAAACCCCACACCCACCCCACTACACGCACACCCTCTCCCATTGTCTCAGTACAAGTTGTTTTAATAAAACGGTGCCTTTGTGGCCCAGTGTTGCCTTGCAGTCAAGCAAAAAAAAAAAAAAGCTGGATTGAAAAATGTAATTTTGGGAGAAAAAATCACCTTTTTTTTTTCCCTGCAGCAGCTGGGTTAGAGGAAGAACCTTTTAGCCTCGTATGAGCTGGCCTTTCTTAGGCCATTTTTAGAATGAAATGGTGTTCAAAAGGGCTTGGATTATTTTCTGCCAGGAACACTCTCCTCTGCCAGGTTTTGCCATAACCGTGGCTGGAATGAGAGCTTGAAAGGGGGGGAAAAGGACAGAAAGAGAAAAAAAATCGTTATTGACTTTGATCTTTTTACACCTCCCGTTTTTCTAATCTGGGCTGTTTTTATTTTTTGTTTTTTTTACAGCGAGATTTTTTTGATCTTCAGCTACAGTAAGTTATTCCAATTTTTCTCCATTTTTTTCCTGCCTTTCCACTGATTTCCTTTTTATCGTTGTTGCTAGTTACTTTATTGATATTATTGCTGCAATAATGGTGGTGACTGTGACTATGATGATGTGTTGCTCATGGTGGTGATTTAAAAAAAAAGACTGCTGATTTTTAACCAGATGAAAATGGAATTTTTCTGAATGATCCTAACTGACTGGGCTTTTATAACCCTTTGGGGGTGGGTGGGAAATACACATACCAGGTTTTTAACATACATTTTTTTTAAAAAAAGTGGATTGATCACATTTAACTCTTTTTTTCCCTCCCTCACTGATCGTCTGGCTGCCAAGAACAAAACCTGATACCTCTCCAGAACTTACTTGAACAACTCAGGAAGTTCCTATGCTTTTTTATTTTTATTTTTCATTTTTTAATATTTTATTTCTATTCGATTTTTCAATTGTTGCTGCACTGTGTCTGTGGGGCTGCTCACTCTCTAGTAGTGGCAGCCTCTCCCCGGTCAAAGGCCCCACTTGCCCCTTCATGCCCTCCCAGTTTTCAACCTAGTCTTTTTCCATTGCACCGTTCCCCCCCTTACAAGCGCCATCATGGATGCCCAGACTGGAGTAACAGAGGTAGCTACCAGCGGAGCCTTGCATGGAGCAGGGACATACCCATCTTGGCTGATGGTAAGGGGCTGCATTGGCTTCATTCCAGGCCATCCCCTCTTAAAGGTCTTGCTTAAAGTATAACCCTACCTGTATAGCGTATCTGAGGGCACTGTCCAAACCCTTGTATCAAAAATTAGTAAAATGTCCTTTCCGGGAGCGTTATGGAACTGCATACAGGTAGTCTTGGACTTACAAGTATTTTGTTTAGTGGCCTGTGGTGGACTGGCAATTGAAAAAATGACGGGAGACGCAGAGAAGACGTCTGAGCAACTGCCAGCCCCGAGAGCCCCCGGGTAGCAGTATTTATTAAGAAAATGCAAATACAAAATCAAAACAATGACTTCAACATTAGCTCAGCAACATTATCTAGCTAGGCCTTGGCGAAGGTGATAAATTTCCCGTGAGAAAGCAGGGCATCAAAGGTCCCATGGGAATGGCTCGGATAGATACTGTGAACTCCCACACACATTCCTGGCCTCTGAGCTTTGCAGATAACAGGATCAAACTCTCATCATAAAGACACTACTGCCCTCATGAGGAGCGTTTGTGATACCCCCAGATCTTACAAAGCTGTACAAGAACTTGCAGAATATGATGGATATATTACCACAGTGGCCGTTCAAAGTTACGACGGCACTGAAAAAAGTGGCTTACGATCATTTTTCACACTTAACAACCATTGCAGCATGTCCATGGTCACATGCTCAAAATTCAGGCTTTTGGCAACTGGCATGTATTTATGACGGTTGCAGTATCCTGGGGTCAGGTGTGACCTGCCCGACCAGCTTCTAATAAGCAAAGTTAATGGGATACCAGATTCACTTCATGACCGCACAATTCACTTAACAGCTGCAGTGGTTCACTTAACTGGCACAAAGGTCATAAAAGGGGGCAGAACTCAACTGCCTTGCTTAGCAACAAAAATGAATGGGCTCAATTGTGGTCAAGGGCTACCTGTAATGCATAGATCCAGCTGCTAACAGAGATGATTGATCTTGGGAAAAGACAAAATGTACTGAAGTTTAGTGGACTCTAGTACTGAGTTAAATGGTTTCCCAGGGTTTTTTTTTATTCCTTGTTCATAGTTGTATAGAATACATGTAATAAAAGTTTCTTGGAATTTCAGAGCATGTAGCTATAAAATAATGCAATTGCAGTCCCCAAGTTTTTAAATGCTTTGCAAATATCACAAAATGCAGTAATTGTCTGCTGTAATATACATAAAGCTAAGTAAATAGAAAGAAATATAGAGGCAATTCAGGCATTCACTTTGGGAAGTTGTGTAATAATAAATGTAATGTTAGCCAATATACTGTGGGAAACGTGATAGACTTGCTACTCTAAAAGTTTCAGAATGCAAGAAGTCTATAATATAGTACAGGGATCTCCAAACCTTAGCAACGTTAAAACTTGTGGGCTTCATCTTCCAGAATTCCTCAGCCAACCATGCTGTTCAGTGAATTCTGGGAGTTGAAGTCCACAAATCTTAATGTTGCCAACCCTGATGTAGAAGACCAAACTTTTGTAGGAACTCCATGGGAGGCTCTGAATGGTCACAAAAGGTGAGTCAGTTACGTTTGTCCCTTCTTGGGGAAAGACATCTTAAAATGTTATTATCTAACAACAAAACATGAGAAGTAAATTATTTCTAAATAGGCCTATATCTTTCTCCATCATCTCCATTGATCAGTGGTAGAGGCTTTTTAGCATAAGGGGTACTTGTTAACTAATTGTGTGATACATCTACAAAACGTTTAGCTTCTAGTACTGTTTTCATGGATTCAGTTTTACAATAGTTGAGGGATTATTATGTTCTTGGGCAAATGGAGTTATAGTGACCAACAACTGAACAATTTTGCTGAATGGCCAAACTCATTTGTTCTGTGTCTTGTGAAGAGAGGCTGCAGGAAATGGAGTTGTTAAGTTTTGAGAAGATTTAACACATGGAAAGTTAAACAGAAGGTCGATATCAGCCCAGAATGTAGGATTTAAATTAAAGGATTTAAAGGCAGATTCTGACAACATATTAACAAATAGGCATGTTTGGCATTGTCATATAAATTACCTGTTATTTGTTCCCCATTAAAAATGTTTGGATCCTTGAGCAGAATTTCTTGTCTCTTGTGTATAAAGAGTCCACATCAGCCACTGGACATCTATGAGGTAGTCATGGTCCCTAAGTCTGATCTACTTTCCAGTGAAACTTGAAGATGGAACTACCACCTAGGTCTCCTTGAAGTCCTAGAGCAAAAATGTAGACCCCACAAATAAATATTGTGAAAAGACTTTCCAGTAAAGAAACAGTTCCCACCACTTGAGGCTGGCTAGGATTTTAATTCATCTTACAGATTTTTGCCAGGCTGACTTAGCTAAATTTGCAGTGAGGCCTGCTTTGAAAGAAGAGGTGGGTTTCCCTTTCCTACCTAGGTTAGAATTCAGGCAGAAATGAAAATAACATTCCACCTTGCCTCTGCAGAAACTGAAGAGAAATAAGGTTTTTTTAAAAAAAAAAAACAGAAGAAGGGAGGAGCAGTGAAGCAAACAACCCGTTTCAAAGAAAGCTATTGCTTTGCTTTTTATTAGAGGAATGAAAATGTGGTTTCTTTGAAGCACAAGATATGGAATGGAGCAGAGAAAACTTAAGTGGATTTATTTAATCCTGTCTACATACAGGTAAGGGACGCGGTGGATCAATGGCTAAGATGCTGAGCTTGTTGATCAGAAAGGTTGGCAGTTTGGCAGGTTCGAATCTCTAGTGCCGCGTAATGGAGTGAGCTCCCGTTACTTGTCCCAGCTTCTGCCAACCTAGCAGTTCGAAAGCATGTAAAAATGCAAGTAGAAAAATAGGGACCACTTTGGTGGGAAGGTAACAGCATTCCATGTACCTTTGGCGTTTAGTCATGCCGGCCACATGACCACGGAGACGTCTTCAGACAGCGCTGGCTCTTCAGCTTTGTAACAGATGAGCACTGCCCCCTAGAGCCGGGAACAAGTAGCATGTATGTGCGAGGGGAACCTTTACCTTTACCTTACATACAAGTAAAATCAAAGCTGTGGTTCAGTGTTTAGGGATAAGTCAGTATCGGACAGCAAAGAGAAAAGAACCTTAGTCAAATGGACTAGCCACAGGGTTCAATTGAATACTGGCAGTGAAAATCATTCCTATTTTTTTTCTTGTTTCACTCACCCTTCTCGGTGTTCTTGCTCTTAGTTCATGCGTGTACACATGCATTAAATGTGTATCTGTCCACTCCATCTGGATAGAGAGCTGTGTGCTCATTAGCTGGGTCTGAAGAGTTGGGATTGGCAGAGAACGTGAAGTCTGCTGGGAACTTGGTTGCAAGAAAAAGTTTGGAATTTTCAACAACCAAAGCCAATCTTTCATCCTCCACGTTGTCTCCTGCCCTTCAAGTTTGGACTGTTGGCAAACAGATGCTGCCTTTGCATTTTATTGTCAAATCTTGTCCTGTAAGCACCCTGAGGGGAAAATAAGTACAGTATATGGAATAAAGAAAATGCTACTCTGGGTCCTTGCCAAAATTAGACTGTAACCAGATAGGACACTCTT